ATGCAGGCTGTCGGGCTTGGGAGCAAGTACTTTTACCCACCAAGCTATCTCCCTACCTTTCCCCAGGCACTTTTTGGTAGAGATGTCAAATGGATGCAAAATTTATATAGAAATACAAATAGCAGTGATAGCCAAAACACTTTAGAAGAGCAAAAACTGAAGGTCTTGTGTAACCTGAATTCAGTACTTAGTGTGAAGCTGCAGAGTCAAGACCACAGAGCCTTGGCTCCTGACTGTAGTCTGAGAGTTTGGAGGCTGAGGCAGGTGGACAGTTGCTAGTTCCAGCTCAAGCTGAGCTGCATTGTAAGTTTCAGGCTAGCTTGGACTATGGGGTGAGATCCTGTATCCTGTATCCTGTATCAGGAGGAATGGTCATTGCTGCCTTACTCACAACAGCCAAAGCACTAAGAAATTCAAATGTGTTACTAGGCCACCAAAGGTTTAAACAAATTGCAACATGTCTTACAGACAAAATCCCAGGCAATTTAAAAAGAGAACAAGCTACTGAGATACAACATGGCATGGTTTCCTTCTCAAAGTTCTCATTGTTAAGTGTAAATCACCAACAGATACATTAACAGGAGAAACAACAGAAAACCTTATTAACAGGCACATAAAATCTGAGAATTAAAAGGGTGGCCAGAAGGCTGAGACTTATATAACCTCTTCATGGGCCAGGGAAGGGGACTGTTGGTGATTTTAGAGAGGTAGTACATGATGTTTAGGGGAATGAATGTGTCTCCAAAGCAGACACTGACATGGGATCCAGCTGCATTCTGTATTAGTCTCCCCGAAATGGTTAGTCCCTCCTGGTAGTGAGACTGCATAACAAATGTTTTCTTGGTATGAAGGGAACATCTTTAATAGAGAAAGATTCACGCTGTACTTCAGGAGAGAAAAAGGGTTAAAGAGGATGGGGAGCCAGAAGCAGAGATAGGGAGTTAGGAGCAAGGATGGGGAGACAGGAGGGAGGATGGGGAGACAGGAGGGAGGATGGGGAGACAGGAGGGAGGATGGAGAGACAGGAGGAAGGATGGGGAGACAGGAGGGAGGATGGAGAGACAGAAGGGAGGATGGGCAGACAGGAGGGAGGATGGGCAGACAGGAGGGAGGATGGGGAGAAGGAGGATGGGAAGGGTCATATAAACATGTTCTGAGACTGATAGTCAGTTCCAAATACCATGCTCCATGCTTTGGACTGTCAACTTTGGAGTCTCTACAGATGAATTACAATACTGCCTTGTTAAACTAAGCAGACACATAGCCGTATATTCCATATGATCACATTGATACAAAGTTTAAGAACAAGCAAAAACCATTCCAAAGCATACTGTGATAGATAACTCATGCCTGTAACTCAAGCACTCAGGAAGCAGAGGCAGGAAGATTTCCATAGTTTGAGATCAGTCTGGGCTACACAATAAGATCTTGACTAAAAACCATAACAAAACTAAACCAATATGAGATGATAGAAAATAGGAAAGTGGATTCCTGTGATGGGTAGAGCTGGGATTGACTTAGAGCAGATTGTATTTTGATTGGTGTAGTGGTTACATGGGCATATATAAACTTATCAAAATTATTTGGATTATAAATCTAAGATTAGTATACTTCTCTAAATGCAAATTTTCTTCAATGTTGGGAATATATAAAAGCTACTGTTGGAGGCTGGGGAGTAAAGAGTGCTTCCTGGCAGAGTTGGGTATTTGAAGAAAAGCTGGTGAGGTAGGATGGAAAGCAAGGATCTGACTATGGAACATCATGGTGCCTCTCCCAGGAAGGAGCTCAAGAGAGAAGCCGGGGGAGGAACTAGGGGCTGAATTGGAAAGGAACTCTTGGGTGAAAGGTTTGAAGTTCATCTTGGAGGTTGGGGGAGGCTACTGAGGTATTCACTGTGAACAATGTCAGTGAGTTCAGAGCTGAGAAGGCGTAAAGGGGCATTGTCAGGTCAGGGAAGCCAGCTTCTCCAGTGGCATTGATGGCTGCTAAGGGAGTCAGCCAAGGGGGAAAGAGTTTGTGGGGAAAGAACAACATCACACACACACACACACACACACACACACACACACACACACACACACACACACACACACACGTCGGGGCAGGGGGAGAGGGGGCTGCAAGCTCAATGTAGGAGTGGGTGTTAGCCATTAGCCTGGGTGATGGAGAGGGTGAGATCTGTAGAGGACCACTCATAACCCATTAGCCTGTCATTCTATTTTGAGACCAGGCAGTTCACAGGACATCAGGGTAGGGGGTTGTGAGTGAAACTGAATATAATCAGTTCCCTTGGGTTCTTTATAATGTCAACCAAGAGGAAAGACTTAAAAAGCAAAACATATTTTGTCTTGCAAAGTTTTCACTAAAAGAAACTTAATTTTGACATAGAAAGTCCAATTTACTAAGAAAAAACAAAGCATCAATGGCCTAAACACCAAGCTGCATTGAATAATTACTGTGTACTGGGCACCCTGCTAAGAACATGTCATATTTAGAGGCAGTCCTGGGAAGGAGGTTTTAAATTTACATTTCAAGCTAATGGACTGCTAAATATCACTAGACAGGGCTCTCCTTTAATACCATTGACATTTTAGACCACAAGAACAGCAGCGTCCCTGTCTTCTGATTCTTGGATGTCACCTGCACCATTTTGCCCTTAGCTTTGACGATCAAATGTCTTTAGATGTGTCCCCATATCCTCCAAGACACAGTCATTGCCTACCTGATCTGGTGGTGGGAAGGCCTTCTAGTTAGGGGGGCATTCAGCAGAATCAGGCCACAGACAGTATAGCCCTTCAGAAGCCCACAGGCCTCTCTGGCCACAAAGAAGCTACAGTTGAAGGAGAAAAGACACTATGACTTGTGATTGTATCAGTTTCCCAAAAGCAAATGCAATGGTGGCTGTGAAGAATGGACAAAAGGCCCGAAGGATCTTATGTTATGTTTATGTGTGAGAGCAAAGAAAAACACCAAGTCTTTCCTGGTCAGGCACTTGGGTTCATTTCCAGTGCTGGGACTAGCAACATATCTCAGGACCGGACTAAATCTGAAACTGTGGGGACTGTGGTCCCCAGGAACATTTTCACAGAACATGCTACAAGTTATGCCTTAGAGCCTACTAAGGATCCCATAACCCTATGACTATGTGTGTAGGGGAGCACGGGGCCATGTAAGGTCAGAGATGTCCCAAGTCACCTGCACAGGTCACCAGTGTGCTGACTGATGTGGTTTGAAGAAGATGTCGCTTCCCTGCATCTTATGCATAGCAGGGTTCCTTGAGCCACACCAATCAAGGATGAGAGGACTCTGTTCCCCACTCCTTGCAAGAGTCACTCACTGGGAACAGATGGCCTGGGTCAAACAGACCTGATGCCACAAATAGTAAGCAATTTTGACTAAGAGAACACTTAGAGTTATGCATGACGTCAGTGCAGACCTGATCCTCTCAGCTCTTACAGCATGAGACACTGTACAAGACTTCCCAGGTTCAAGTCGTAAGTGCTGACTATGACAGCACACTCTGCCCATGAGTTGCAAGCCAGATCTTCCCAGAAATTGCCTTTTACACATTCCACACTGGTGTACTGTTCGTGCAGACAAGGAATACTTGTCAGGCAGGCAGACACTGTGTTTGCTTGTGGTGAAGCGGCCAGAGAGTACCACTAAAATAAGTCACTTCGGCACAAGCACCTTCTCCGGTCTGTCTTCCTACACTTTGAAAACTGACCCAACTACAATTTGTCAGTGGTTTCTATTACTCAGATATATTTTTATTATTTATTTATTTATTTATTTATTTATTTATTTATTTATTGACAGGGTTTCTCTGTGTATCCTGGGCTGTCCTGGAATTCACTCTCAGAACAGGCTGGCCTCAAGCTCAGGGATCCACCTGCCTCTGCCTCTCAAGTGCTGGGATTAAAGTCCTATGCCACCATGCCCAGCCACTCTTGTAGGGAGCCATGGCAAAAGTAACCTTGGACCTGTAAGAGACTTGGGCTGCTTCAGAGAAAGTTGCCAGCATTTTAAGAATAACCCATTATGTTAAAAGAATAGCTGCCTTCAATCCTTCCCTCCTGATACATAGCATTTGGGCCCATAGAAGTAGCTTGTAGAGAGAAAGAAACATTTCACAGTCAGGTTACCTAGCAACCCTTCCCCCATGCATTCTGTAACCCAACTAACATTTAGCCCTTTCAGCCCCTATCTAGACACTCGCAATGTCTGACCTTGCCAAGCACCCTGGACTCCCCGCTTGCCTTCAAGGACTCACACACAGGGACATTCCTCAGTCTGGTTATCAGGCAAATGGTCTCAAATGACCTCTCCCTGCCTGCCAAGCTCCCTGCTTGGCACCTCTATATAAGGTCCCTGTGAAAAATAAAAAAATTGCAGCTTGATCAGAAACCTGTCTTGCTGTCTGGTTCTTTGTACCTGCCCGACTCTCTTTCCAGGTACTTTGGTGACTGCAGCACATTGGGGTGGGGGTGTGAGCTCGAGTGGTGCCCCGAAGGTCGGGGCACAATCTGACATTATTTTTAAATTTTTTTATTTGGATTAGAAAGATTATTTTACATGTCAATCCCAGTTTCTCCACCCTCCCCTCCTCCCCTGCCCCCCAACTAACACCCTACCTATCCCATACCCTTTCTGCTCCCTAGGGGGTCTTCAGAATCTGTCATATCCTTTGGGATAGGGCCTAGGCCCACCCCCTTGTATCTAGGCTCAGGGGGTATTCCTCCATGTGGGGTGGGCTCCCAAAGTCCATTCCTATGGTAGGGATAAGTACTGATCCACCACAAGGGGCCCCATAGATTTCCCAGGTCTCCTCACTGACACCCACATTCAGGGGGGTCTGGATCAATCCCATGCTGGTTTCTCAGCTATCAGTCTGGGGACCAAGAGCTCTCCTTTGTTCAGGTCAGCTGTTTCTGTGGGTTTCACCATCCTGGTCTGGACCCCTTTGCTCATCAGTCCTCCTCTGCAACTGGATTTCAGTTCAGTTCAGTGTTTAGCTGTGGGTGTCTGCTTCTACTTCCACCAGCTGCTGGATGAAGGCTATAGGATGGCAAATAAGTCAGTCATCAATCTCATTATCAGGGGAGGGCATTTAAGGTACTCTCTCCTCTGTTGCTTAGATTGTTAGTGGGTGTCATCTTTGTAGCTCTCCAGACATTTTCCTAGTACCTGATTTCTCTTTAAACCTATAATGTCTCCCTTTATTATATTATTTCTTATCTTGCTCTCTTCTGTTCTTCCCCCAGCTCAACCTCCCTGCCCCATCATGTCTAGGGGTGAGGAGGCCACTCTGACATTTTTGAAGAGCCCTTTGCTTCCTCTCATTTGAATGACCTGACTAGTTAGGTACAGATGAAATGTTTTGGACAGGAATACAACATGGTGACACTCTGCCCTTCTCAGTATGAAATATTAGAAGGCACATGACCTTAAGTGGCCAATGCCTGTTTTCCTCTGAGCACCTGACCCAAACAGGAATGGTGTCAATGACAAGCCAGGGGCTTCACCTACAAAACAGAAACAATGAGAGGGCACTGGGACACTGATGTCCCTCAGACAAGTCTCTCATCTCTATCTCTAACTTAGACCCCAGTGACATAAAGGTGTCACAGCTTTGTTTGTGCAAGTGGCACCTTACTAAAGGTGAGTCACTGGTTTATCTTAGAAGTGAAAAGAGGACTGAATCAGACTAACTTTGTTGTCAAAAATACCTCACAGAGGATGTTACAAGCAAAAACAGAAAGCAAAGCAAAGCCTGCAGAGAAGTACCAGGGTGTTATGGGAAATCTACAGACGTTGTTTTGAAGATAAATATGGTAACAACACTTTAATCACTTCTGGAAAATGTCAGCAGTTCAGTACAAAGCACTAACTCACTTCCAAAGGCAGTCACACAATAGAATGAGACTACCTAGGTCTAAAGACATGTATTTCACAGAAGGTCCGTGGAAAACTCTGGTTTAAGATTAAAATTAACACGATTATTGTGATGAATGAGGCACTAAAATAGAACAACCAGAAAACACCATACTGCTTGACATGCTAAAGGGAGACTGAGAGACAGAGATAGAGACAGAGACAGGCAGAAAGATAGAGACAGAGAAATAGAAATAGAAAGACAGAGAAAGACAGAGATAGAGAGACACACAGAGAAATAGAGACACAGAGAAAGGCAGGCAGGGAGCTATAAAACTCAGAGCTGGTGGGAAGGCATGCAGGAGACACACATGTTTAGGTAACTTAGCTGTCATCTCATAGGTAGTAGCCAGTAAAGTCACAATCTTGGCCAAATCAGTTTTCTACCAATAATATTGTATTGTTATTTTTGGACATCTTTCAAAAAAACATTTATTTATTTATCTTGGTGGGGAGGAGAGGGAGGAGGCTTGTGCCATGGTACCCACATGGAAGATGGAAGACAACTTACAGAAGTCACTTCTCTCTGCCTTTGTGTGGGGTCTGGGGCTGGAACTCTGTTCTCTAGGCTTATTGGAAAGTACCTTTACCCAATAACTTCCCGTGTAGCCCAGGCTTGCCTTGCATTCCTATGTAACTAAAGCTGGACTGTAATTCCTGATTCTCCTGCTTCCCCCTCAAGTGCTGAGATTACAGGTGTGTACTACCGTGCCCAGATTTATGCATCTTTACTTTGACATATTCTGCCAGACTCTTCTGTCAATGTGCTATTTCAATCAATGGCTTGGGAAATGACAATGCCTCTCACATTGAATATAAATGTTGTTTTGAACATTTGTTTAAGGGAAAAAAATCCTCATTTTAGCATTAGTTTCTATCAAGTTGCACTATTTAAATGTTTATTGATAGCTGATGTTTTCTTTTTGAAGTTCTAGCTCACATCTCAGCATATTTTCCCATCAATGTGGAAAGCATGTATCCATCTTTGCCTAATTGATGCCAGGTACATCACCCAGCACACAGAGGTCACCTGGTGTTTTTGAACCTCCCGCAGGGCTGCATAGGATGTGAGGCCAGGACCATACATTTGAATCCCAACTCACCTCACATATATGTCTGTTCCTTTGGCCCCGTATGCGAGGGGGAGAGCTGCTCTGAAACACTTTGCTAAAGAACACACTGGTATGAGGCAAAGGTACCCTCTCCCTACTATGCCTGAGAGGAACTCCCCTGAGGTGGGAAAACAGGATAGAAAGTAAGGTTCAGAAGGTCTTACATAGAGGCTGTAAAGTTAGCATGCAGGAAAAGCCTATTGACAAATGGGAAGGCTGGAAAGTAATTCTAACTAGGGCTAACCGTTGACATGGGAGCGGAAGCACTCTGAAGTGTCTGGAGGTAACCTGTGGCTCCTGGCAGTAATAGAATGCATCTGGGTGGGCATTAAGAAGCCACAAGACATGTGATGCTTGGAGTGTGTAGAATGCCACATAACAGGCTGTGTGAGGAAGCCTAGGTTATGCAAACGAGCTCAAAGCTCAAGAAATGACACAACAGCCCGTCCATTGTATAGCAGGATGGTGAGCTGCCAGACTTTGCTCTGCTCCAAACTGCCTCCTCCTGTAGAACTCCTTTTCTTAATACATTCCCTTGTTTTGCTTGCTACCATCCACATGTCTCTGTCCAGTTCCTTGTTCTGGGACACAAGGACACAGAATCCCTCTGAAACTTCCCATTGACCCCAATATCCACCAACATCAGCAAGTTGACTGGCCCTTCAAAATTCCTTTTTCTATATCTTTCAGAAACCCACCACCCATTATGTACAAAGCATACCCAACCTGTAGACCACAAGTCAAGGAGAGCTATAAATGGGGCCAACACAGAATTGTAAACCTAGTTAAAAGATTATAAGACATGTTCACATTTTTTTCATAATTAAATTGTGTGGTTCTCAAGTGTGAGCTGCATAAATGACAATGTTCTTTTCAATGTCAAAGGTTGCCACACTTGTTAGCAGTTGTTTTCTATCAAAATCTCACTAGATTGCTATTTTAAGAAGGCTTAGCTAGTCCATACCACACAGAAAAATTCTCAAAAGAAACATTTGTAAACGTTTCCTTAAATGTGTCCAGCAGATGTTGAGGTAGGCTAGTTAGAAACTCTCAGGCTTGAGGTCATTGAGGATGAGCCCTTCTGTCAATCATCTTTGGGCCCCGCCTTCGGTCTCTCTGGTAATACACTAATTTTAAAGAGGAAGAAAGCTTCACAATTGACCATCAAGATTTAAAACTGTGTTGGAGGGAGGAAGGACCAGGAGACAGGGCTTCATTGAATTTCATCAAGAGAAGGTCCATTCCTCTGGGTAAAATATGGCTATTTTTATAGATTTTTTTCTGTCTTTAATTCTCATGAATCTATTGTATTACTTGAGTTTTGGTCAACAGAATGAGATCTCAGTTTTATCTCTGGCACTGGGAGGAATTTGGGACTTTCTGGTAAAGAACAAAGACATGCCATTGTCTTTCCCCTTAAAGAGCTAATCCAAATGAGCCTGCCAATCACCTGAGCAGTAAAATGTCCCTCAGGAAGTGTTCAGGAACTTTTGAAGATAGTATAAAGCCTTCATAAACATGCCTGTTCACAGCCCACTTCCCTATGAGCACTTTCTTCCATGGTGGCCTCTCTGGTCACTGGTCCCACTTGTCCCTTGCCCATTTGTAACAAACTCCTTATCATGTGTTCTGTACTACAGTCCTTGTCATGTGTTCTGTTCTACACTCTATGTCATGTGTTCTGTGCTACACTCTATGTCATGTGTCCTGTACTGCACTCAGTGTCTCATCTGAATTGATTCAACAGAGAAAACAAGGCTAATGAGCTGAGAGGAGACCCCAGTGAGATGTAACACACACTTTGTGTTTAGTGTCTGATTTTCACGTTCACAGATGCATTATCTCCCTTTCCATTTTAATTTAAGATCCCCAGTAGCTTCTGATGCCAAGGTACTCCAGTTGTGGAACTCACCTTTATAGCCTGCACCTCAGAAAAGTAGTGCTACATGCCACAGTGAGAGAGCCTGATAAGGTCCCTAGACTCATGTAAACTTCTGTGCAGTAGACATCAGGCGTCCACAGGAAGTCTTGGTTCTATCAGAGCTGCTCACATGAACCTGTGAGGAGGAATGAAAAAAGCTTTATTTTTCTTATTTCTATGAGTCCATTGACTGGAAGATAGGAAAGAGACATTAATATGTCACATGCACAGATTTAAAAATGATTCAGGCTTTCAGAATAGTTAAAAATGCTAGATTTTTTTTTTTTTAAGAATTGAGCACCTTGGGGGTGACGGTGATGTTTGCCTTTAATCCTAGCACTTGGGAGGCAGAGGCAGAAGAAACTCGAGGCCAGCCTGGTCTACAGAGTGAGTTCCAGGATGAACTCCAAAGCTACACGGAGAAACCCTGTCTTAAAAAACAAAAACAAAGAATTGAGTAACTAAGATGTGATGTGTAGCACTACTTTTCCGAGGTGCTGACTGTGAAGGCGAGTTCCACAACTGGAAACCCTTGGCATCAGAAGCTACAAGGAGCAGAAAGAGATGGACTGCCCAACCCCAAGATTCAATTTGTAAACACCATTTTCTTGGTCCAGTGGTCATGTGACAGGCATGCTTGAGAAAGGGGCTAAAAGGAATTTAGAGTGTGAGGTTAAGTCACCAAGAGCGAGGAGGGGCTGGCAGATGGGAAACTGAGGTCAGATCACATCCACAGATACTGTACACATGGCATTTGGCCTTTGTGTATGAAATCCATCTTGGCCCTTTATTCTCTACCTTCTGTCCTTCCAGCATTCTGCCCCCATCTTCGATCCCTGCCATTTCCCCCATCTCTCTGCAAACAGACCCACCCATGTATTCTGAGAAAGACTGAAACACAGATAACTTCCAGTTGAATACCTCAGGAACTGTGACATCGACAGTGATAGTTGGGGCTGTCAATCAGATTTCTATTCATCCATGTGAGCTACCAGAGCTACATATAAACTATGGATGACCTTCACACTTCAATACAGAAGTGTCTTCAGGATGGTCACTGGGCAGTTGTGTTGCAATCCCACTACACCAGGTGACACAGAAATACCACCCCACTTCCTGCCTATGAGGTTTTTGACAGACACATCAAAGTTTCCAAACTTTGTCCTCTAAGAACCAAGTTGGTCATGTGATTGAGAACATGAAGGCTACCACCCAAGCCTTGATTCAGGAGCCTGGCTGACTTCCCTTCCCTGGACCTCATGGCAGTTGGAGGCCAGCCAGCAGGTGACAGCAGTTATCCGTAAGGCATCTCTAGCATCTCAGAAGCCCCTTGCAATAAGAAGAACTAGCAAATGTGACTTTGTAAATTCTGCCCCGATTATAGCCTGACTTCCTCCTTCTCACCCACCATTTCAAAAGCATAGAGACTTTGTCAGATAAAGTCTTCTTTTGCCCACATGAAAGCACTGTGTTTGTCTCTGCTGAAGAGCTATTGTCTGTGGAGACAACCACAGCTTGTGTGTTTGAGCCACTCATCCCATAGCTGCCTTTCTTCCTACCTCTGTTTGAGCAGTGCTCTGTGTCAATTCCAGAGCCCCATGCTGTCACTTCTTAAGTCACAACAGGACCCTTAGGTTTCCTGAGCAAAGGATGTGGGGGAGAGAGCCCGGAGGTTCTGTTGGGGCTCCAGAAACCACGAGCAAAGACAGAAACCAGAACAAAGACAGGGGTGGGTGAGGGTGGGGTAGCAGAGCACCCAGTTACTCCTGGACTTCCTCTCAAAACAGGAAAATGTTTACCCAGAGTATGTCTGGGGACAAGTAGAACCTGCTGTCTCTGCTTGGTGACAACATTCTGGTCTGCATCACTTACCTTTCACAATCTTCAAACAAAACATTTGTAGTATCTGATTTGTTAAGGATTGCAGTTTTAGTAAAATTTTATTAAGAAATAATACAATACCCCAAAGCCACTTTTCGTTCAGTAGTTACCTTCCTAGTTCTGACATCTTCCTATTTTTGAGGAATATCAGTACTTTTGCACAAAACATGATTCTTTTTTACTCTAGAGACAAGATCACAGGCACTTGGCAATATTTGTGCTTTCCACAAGAGGGCTCCCGAATGGTGGGAACTTGCTGACAGGCAGACCTTCCTACACAGCAGATGCTTTGCCACCTTGTATTTATGAGTTCAGAGTTACTGTGATAAACTGATCTTAGACTACAATGTCCAAACTGGACTTTCCAAATTAGTTTTCCTTTTTTTTTTTTTTCTTGTGGTCGATGGGTTTTCCTTAGTGGAGGAGGGAACTAGGGGGTGGGTTGCATACAGTCCCCTCCTGGCTTCCATTTTTCTTCACAGCCATTTCTGGTCTTCCTTTCTTAGTTCGGGTGATGTTCACTGAAGCCTTCTGTGTCTGATTGGAGACTGGGGGACATCACACACAGTGACAGGGCCTTCTTTGGGAGGGTCCAGCGCAGCTGGCCAAGGAAACGTGCTCCAGACAGGAGCTTCCTGCCAGCCCCTGAGATCTACTGCTAACATTGTTGCCAATTGACTGCTGAGGGTGGTGCCATCCATCTTAGGTTACATTGCTCAGAACTGCCCGGGGTGTAAGAGTCAGTGTGGGGCAGCCGCAGCCACCTCTCACAGGGCCACAAAGCAAGGAGCGGGAAGTCCTTGTATGGCAGGGCTCCCCACAAGCTCCAAGGAGTTAGGCAGCTCCTCTTGGGGCATTGACTTCCCTTCTTTGCTGTGTTGTTGCCTCTTATTTCTGGTTCTCACCTGTCTTCTTTTCTACCAAAGAACCAATGGCTTTCTACCACAAGGGGGCAGTGCAGGGGAAGAAACCAGTCAATAAATAGGCTTGATGCTTCTGTTAGGAAAATAATTGTGTACCTCACAAGCTTGTTTTTAGTTCATTTTTAGATAAGAACAAAGAGCCAGTAGCAACTAAAGAACTAAAGTAGCAGCTAAAGACTTGGCTTTTGTTCTTTAGAAAACAGCCTGGACTGTGGCCAAGGGAAGGATGCCCAGAAAAGCAGTAACAGTAAAGATGCTTGGATGTCCTAGCAGAGCAGAATCTCCCTAGTGTCTAATCTAGCATCAAAGATTCATGAAAATGGGAAGCAAAGGAAGCATTAGAGTAGCAAAGAGAGGCGAGGGGATGCCAAGAAGGTCACAGTATATGGTGTGTGTGTGTGTGTGTGTGTGTGTGTGTGTGTGTGTGTTTCAGCAGGCACAGGCACAGGCACTGAGGCTGGTCCTAAGCTTGTGCACAGAAACATCTACGAGAATGCATCCTCAGCTGAGAAAAGAAACACACCGAGTACTGAGGTCCTGGGGAACAGATGGATTTTGTTTGTAGCTGGTTTGCCTGATGCCCACTGGGAAGACTGAGTGGGCCTTCATTCTTTGCTATGTTGCTGGCCTCTCAGGGTAGGGTGTGCATCTAGAAGGAAGAAAGCAAGACAGGGTTCCACTGAGGCCATTTGGCGCTGCCACTGAACAGTGAGTATAATTTCTATTTTTCTCTCTCTTGCTCTAGGGCTGGGTCTTGGGTCCTTTCAGCCCAGCTTTACCATCAGTTCTCAAGGGAGCCTGACCTGTGGAGCCAAGCCACTAGGCAGATATGTTGAGCTTTGCAACCTAATACTTGGGAATAAGGAAATCCATATTCAGTTTAACAGTGAGCTCATCTCTGGGAACTGAGATAAATAACAGCTGCTTTCAGGAACTCCATCAAAATTATGCAAATAAGACCACACACAATAAAAGAAGATGACTGTTTGATGAGACCAAAATGGTCGGAATTTGTGGTTAAGAACAATTGCAGTGATTCAGAACAGGTATTAGAAATAGCCAAGATACACATAGGGGAGAAAGAAAGGCTAATATCAATGCATTCACAGAGATCAAGGGAGGGAGGGAGCAGCTTTAGACAATGTAAGTCATAGTAGAAGCAGCCACATGTGGTTTACAAGAGTAAAGTTTCAGTTTAAGTAGAGAGACGATAGCTAGCACGCCAGTCTAGTCATCAGGAGCATGGATCTCAAATGGGGGCGGCTAGGGTACATGAGCCCTGTCCCAGCCCACCGCGGCATGCTTACATTCCTGTGTGGTTTGCAACTTCTTTCTTCCCTCTATGTCACCAGGTCTCAGCACTGTGCTTTCTCTAGTAGGTATTGCTTGTACGGACGTGTAGTGTGACGGCTGTGTTTCTCCCTGTGAATCCCTGACACCAAGTCCCTGGAACAGCTGGTCCCATGAAGCACTGTGACTCAGGAGTCGTTCCAGTCATGTGGGGAACTCAGTGAGAGTTCAAGTCCTCTGTGTGTGTAGCTGGAGTTTGTGAACCGGTAGCTACCGGAAGCTTTCTTTCCATCACATGGCCTTGGCATTTTCTCTTTAGGAAGACAAGCAGAGACCTAAAACGAAGAAATAAGCAGGGAGCTAGTATGCCAAGACCACCAGTGGAAAGCTCCATGCCAGTTCCGTTCCCTCCCAAGTAAGGACAGTCCCAACTCATCACTCTCTCCTGATTATACATTTGCATGTTTACTTTCGATTTTTACAACCTTTTTCCTTTCAGCCGTATTTTTTGGGTAGAACTGACCTCAAGCCTAGGATCTGGAGAGGGCCAGACTGGGGCTAGTTGGTTATTGCCTGCTCTCCTAGACTGTTGTGTGCAGAATTAGGCACACAGCCTGTTGTCAGCTGTTCTAGCTGTTTAGAAAAATTCCTAGGCACTTTTGAGAAAATCTTTACAGTTTTATTCTTCAGTGACACTAAAAAAAAAGAGAGAAATTGGAAATTTGGTGCAAACCTGGATTAAGCTTTTCTTGAAGCCATGTAATGGACATTTCTTATATATTAGAAGTTAATTTGAGTTTGTCTTCCAGTTTACTTACAATTGGAAGAGTCTGAATTTAGCCAGGTGGCAACGGCCATCTTTAATCCCTGCACTCCAAGGTGGAGGCAGGCAGATCTTTATGAGTTTGAGGCCAGCCTGCCTGGTCTACAGAGTGAATTCCAGGACAGCCAGAGCTATATTATCTCTGTCTCAGAAAACAAAACAAAAAAGTGTCTGAATTTTCAAGCCATTTTAAGATGATTTCTGTCTTTTTTTTTTTTTTCAAGAAAAGAACACTGCCTGTTTGGGTATTCATTGACTTAGCTCTCTGTGAGTGCTGTGTGGAGAAGTCAGAGAGGTTAGAGGCCAGGAGAAAGCCATGGGACTGATGAGTGATGCATGCAGGGGTGTGTGCTGTGTGCCAGCATGTGTGAGGACTCCTGCTAGGTCACTAAGGATTTGGTTTTCTCTAATTGCAAGGCTACTACATAAAGGAATTATTTGGGTAAGTCTCGCAGTATCGTAGTATAGCAAAAGTAGACCTTAGGAAAAAGAGCAAATAACTCCAGGCTCCTTGGGTTCCATATTTATAATCCAACCAAATCCAGATTTTAAAAAATTACCAAATACTAAAAATACAATACTGAGCATGTACAGAACTTTCCTTTGTCACTTTTTCTTACACAATAGAGCATAGCAACTACTTAAAAGAATTTGTGTAGTATTGGGTGCTATAAATAACCCAGAAAGTATCTCAGGTGTGTGGGAGGGTGCAGACAAGGCTCTATGCAAGCAGCGTACCATGTTACAGAAGAGGCTAGAGGCTAGAGGTATTCCTGGGTGTTTTGGCCATCCTCTGTGGATACCAGGGGATGACTGAAAATCACTTCATAATAACCTATGGAAATTTAATAATTTCATATGATAATTAATAATATATAATTATATACTTATATAATTGAAAGGTTCAGGCATTACGCTGGCCTGGCCCTGTTACCTGGCAGAACCCACTCAGGCAGTACCTTGGTTAGCCCAGGGTTCCATGAGAACTAGTCTGCACGAAGGTGTAAAGGAACCCTTTAAAAGACAGACCCCCGCCCACTTACTCTCTCTTACTCACTCCTCTTACCTTCCTGTCTCTCTCTCTCTCTCTCTCTCTCTCTCTCTCTCTCTCTCTCGGGCATGTGTGTGTGTGTGTGTGTGTGTGTGTGTGTGTGTGTGTGTGTGTGTGTGTGTTTCCGGTAGTCGACCACTAATTCTTCTCTCTTACTCTCTGCTCTGGTCTGTTCTTCCATTTCTCTATCTCCCGCTCTTGCTCTCCCACCTGATAATAACAGCTCTATGGTTAACATACTCTACGGTTTGTGTTCCATCATGACGGTGCTGGCTCCATCTCACGGCTTATTTTTCTAAGTTTTAAACTTTTACAAAATCACAACAGTAATTATAACAATTTCCATATTACATATCTTCAGGTGACTTCTTCCATTGCCTTAAAATTTCACACCAAACTAAGGTGATAACCATTACATCCCAGAGTCATCATTGCAACCCTGCAGGATATGAAGAGACAGACATCAATCTAATGCCGTGACTTTCACCCCTAAGAGTTTATCCTCAAGTTCATAAGGGGGAAGGCATTTCTTCTGCTCTCCAAACAAAGAAGAAACATGTTTCCTAAGCACCGAGAGGCTGACATTTCCAGGGGCTTTGACACTCACGTGAAGAAGTAACCAGAATATTTGAGGACATCAGGGCCAGGAAAGGGGCCAGAATCCACCAGATGGAGCCCAGATGCTACTTCTGGGTTGAAAGTGGTAGAGCAGCCACAGAGAGTCATTGGTAAAGGGCTGTGTCCTAGTTAGTGCTAATTGTTAACTTGTCTCAGCCTACGGTCATCTGAGTGGAAAGTTTTGATGGGGAGTGGTCTAGATCAGACCGGCCTGGGGGATTGTATGGGGATATTGCCTTGGTTACTAATTCATGCGGGAGGACCCAGCTCACTGTGAACAGTTTCATCCCTGGCAGGTGGCCCTGGGTTGTGTAAGACAGGTTCCTCCCTGGCTTCCTCCCAGACTTCCCTCAGTGATGGGCCATGGCCTAGCAGTGTAAGCTGTATAAATCCTCTCCTCTCCTGAGCTGCTTTTGGTCAGAGTGTTTTTACTACAGCAACAGAGAGGAAACTAGAACTGATGCTAATCCAAAAGGCTGTTGAGGGGTGAGGGCAGAGGGACAAGCAGCTTGCTGAGATGATACCTGGAGGCCAACAAGAATGCACACAGAGGGAGGGGAGGTCTCTGGGGGACTTGCCAGGGATAGTGAGACACGCTTAAGGGTGTTCACACTAAAGGGTGTGAACAACATTATCCTTGCTACCAACTTTGAAGAAGTCCAGGGTGGCAGAGGCGTTCGGCCTGAATAAAAAGGAGAGGAAGATGACAGAGAGCCAACTCTCTCTCCACATGGTTTTTGTCAGGTCCAAAGGAAATTCCACTCCCCCAAATTCTTGAGCCTGCCCCCCCCCCAAAGGAGCTATTTCCTCACCACTGTCTGAGGAGACTGCATAGCCATCGGGGTGTCAGCTGGCATACCAAATGCATGCTGGTTGTGGTGTTTTGAATAGGAATGGCCTCCAAAGGCTCATAGATTTGAATGCTTGCCCACCAGGAGTGGTGCTATTTGAATGGATTAAGAGGTGTGGCCTAGTTGATGGAAGTCACTGAGAGGTGGGCTTTATGGTTTCAAAAAGTCCATTCCAAGCCCAGAGTCTTTCTTTCTGCTGATGTGTTCATGGTGTCTCTTCACATAGAACACCAACTAAGACCCTGCATTATAGAGTTGAATCCACCAGGAAAAGATCACAGACTCAATTCAAATTATAATTAAATGCATTTATTAATTATTGCTAGCAGGATAACAGCCTTGAAGCCAAACTGAAGGTTTGCCACAGACGAGGCTGGGGGCCTGGGCGGGTTCTAAAGGTGGGGACCATGATCATGATTCCCGTGGAATGTGTAACTGAGTGGGAAACTAGTGAGGATCTGTCTCTCCCTGATTACAGAGAAAGAGAAGCTGTCTCACTCCCTGGTACACAGCGGTAAGCAGTTTCACAAAAGCCAGAGAAAGCAGTTAATTATCTCAACAGTTTTACAATTCTGGGGAGGGAGCAAGGAGTCAGAGTTGCCCAGACCTTATCTTTTAGGGATTTAGAATGAGTGTCTAGTACAATGCTTTCCTTTCCCTGGCCAACACATTGGCCTCCAGGCTCTTCCAGAGTCACAGTTACCTGTATTTCTTCTTCTCGGTTCTTCTCACCCCACCACCTGCCCTAACTTCTCCAGCCACCGGGCTTCTCTCCTCAGGGGCTTCCCTCCTCTGCCTTCTCCTTTCCATATAACCTGAAATTTTAGACATGCCTCTCTTTGTCTTCCCCTCTTGCCCATCCCCTTGGCCCTTTCTTTAGGTTTCAGTTGCTTGCACACACCCTTTTGTCCGTCTGTCCGTCGTCTTTGTGTGCGTGTCATGTCTGTGTTGCCCCCCCCCCCCCCCCCCGCTTCATTTCATGGTCTCTCCCTGCTCTGGACTCCTCCAGACGCCTCTGGCTGTTCTCTCCCTCATATATACGGTAACATCTTCTCAACTATACCTTGGAGCAGTCATGGCCTCAGTTTGTTATGTCTGTAACAAAGCCTTCAGTTTACACAGGTTGAGAACCCTGCCTCAGTTCCAAGCCGATAGTGATGAGAAGGGAGAAACTCTAATTGGATTGGATAAAAGATTTAAATTTTGATTTTGGATTAAACTGGCCTTTTTTGTTTGTTTGTTTGTTTTCGAGACAGGGTTTCTCTGTGTAGCTTTGGAGCCTATCCTGGCACTTGCTCTGGAGACCAGGCTGGCCTCAAACTCACAGAGATCCTCCTGCCTCTGCCTCTGCTTCCCGAGTGCTGGGATTAAAGGTATATGCCACCAACGCCCGGCTTAAACTGGCCTTCTTCACAGTGTAAAATAGGTCATTATGATGTCCCACAAAGATGGAAAACAATTTGGAGTGTACTTCAGATATTACCAAGATATGGCATGAAACAGACCACACATTATTCAGGGCCAGTAGTGTGAGTGTGAGATTTGCTTGGTGTGGTAAGTAAATCAGTGACTATAATATCATCAATATAAGATGATATACAACAACATGGTATAGTGGGGACAGAAATAAAGCCAGATCAACAAATTCAAGCTGCAGGCCTAATATTCTACTAATTTATAATATTAGTAAAATAGAACCTCACCGAAATGTCCACTCCAACAGATTCAAGCTAGGAATGTGAAGCAGAGTGCACACACCTTTGAGGCATCCATATTTTAAATTCATGTTTCCTTTTTATCTCTAACTATGATTAAAGATAGTTCAATGATGTAAGTGTTTAGTTTGGATTAACTGCAAAAACCAGGAGAGTAAAGGGGAGCTATGGATGAGGAGAATTAGTACTAGGGAGGGAAATAGCATGGTTTAAGAGATTTGCAGGGGGAAATGGGAAAAATG